CTGAACTCCAGATCTCTGAGGTACGCTTTTGTTCCAGATGAGCCCATCGGTCCAGGTACAAAGCGTTGTACATATTTTGAGATTTTTTGCAAATCATCCATTGAAGGAGAAGATATCAATGGTCTCACATGCGTGGTCGGTAGTGGGGGTGTTACTCTGCCCGTTTGTGTAGGTGTTTGGATGGGTCTAAAAGCAATGGGTGAGTAAAAAGGTCGTTGAGGTTTTGGTGTATTATCCCGACTCTGTTCAGGGTCTGGTTTGGATTCCAGATCACCTTGCCCCTCTTCATTACCTTTATCTGTTGCTGCTTTTAGTTTCTCCTCACATTTTTTTAAATGTTCCTGGGACGTTTGGTAATCACTTTGTAAACGCATATGTAGCTGTTGTAAATTGTGTTTATCTATTCTGCATTCTTCCAGCTCCATTTTTGCGAGCTGCAACTCTTTTTGTAGCTGGTCATTGTCTGAGCACGCAGCTTGGTATTGACGGTCTTTTTCACTAATCTTCTCATAAGATTGTCTTTGTAATGACGCCTGCATTTCTGAGAGCTCCCTCTCATGTCTTTCAGACATCCAGACAAGGCGTTCCGACCGTTCATCCAATTCTGCTTTTAGAAGCAGAGAGATTTTTGCTAACCGTTCCTGGCTATGCTTTTTACTCTCTGGCTCTAATGTTCCTGCTGCCAGACTTTTCAGCTCTTCATTTCTTTGAATTTCATCGAGTTGTTCTAATTGCTGTATTTGCGTGCCAATAAGTGGAGTTGTTAAAATATGTAAGGCCCCCAAAATGATATCATAATTTCGTTGGGAGTCTAAAGGATGCTCTTCTCCTTCTTCGTCTGCCATTTTTCTTCTATTTAAAAATTAAATAGGAGAATTTAATGTTTTAGGTTTTTTCAAAATAAATAAAATCAGAAAAGTCTCTTTGTCTGATATATTTACTCTTATTTAGTGATTTATCAATTAAACGTGCATTATCTTTTTAGCAAATGAGTAAACTTTTTTCAACTCTGTGAATATCTGTAACTGTTTCTATTTTTAAAAAGTTTCTAACTTTTATTTTGTACCTTTATAAGGGATTACCAGTGAATAAAGTCTTTTGGTAAATGCCTCTTTGCATAAATACCTTAATAACTTTTAAATGCAAGATAACAGTGATTATTCAGCTTTGAGGAACGTTTATTAACTCAAAAATGCCTTTAAAAAAAAGAAAATGCGTTTAATTTCACTAAAATAACCTAAAAAGCGAAGTGAAACCTGTGTTCTCAAGTTTCTCCAGGAGGTGGCACAACAACCTTATTAATTTTAACTCAGACACTGTTAGTGTTGTCCAGTAGGGGAGCTATGACTTCCTGTGGCGTCCGGTCGTTAGCTGTTAGCTTAAAGTTAGCATCGGCTAGACTCTGTTAAAACCAACATTTCTGAACGGATTTTTTACACAAACGTGGCAAAATTTTAGCAATTAGACTTTGAAGACTAACACAACGCATCAGAATACAGCTTTTAAAGCGTTTTTGAACTTTAAAAAGCAGATTTTATTTCCCTATGAAAACGAGTTTTCATTTCCGGGTCACGTGACTGAAATCACCAATGACAGAGCAGCGCAGGGGTGAGAGGAAATGACGTAGATCACGGACGCAGTCCTTTTATGCAGCATTTCTCATCATGGCAGCCAATCCCCGTTCAGCTCCTCTGTGTCTTCCTCCAATTACTGCCGTGCTGTACCTGGACACTAATTCACACACAATTAGCCGTTGTGCAAACATGCACACACAAAACTTACGACAGCAGTTACAGCACTATAGACAGAAGGGAGCAAAATTTATTCTCTTTAGGAATTTTGTTTTGTTTTGTTGGTGATCACAAAGTTTTTTTATTTTTATATATTTAACCTTTTATTTATACATGTAGTCTCATTGAGTCACGGCGAGCAGAGTGTGGGAGCAGATGGTGGGGGTTAAGGGCCTTGCTCAAGGGCTTAGAGTTGAGTTGATGTGTGTTGTGTGTATGGTGCACAGCGACTTTGGAAATCAGGGAAAAACTGGAAAATGACTTTCACATTTTCCAGAAAGGGAAAACTTCTTATTAAAATGATCTTCCTGAGATGTTTATGTGTACGTGTCTTAATGCTAGTATTCTAGTATCAGTGAGTCCATGATCTGCTTCTACTGTGTGTCAATTTGTAACCTCAAGCCTTAAATCACTCACTGCTACATGAAGTCTTTCACGCTCCGCCTAAGATACTCAGTCCTGAGTGTTTTTACAGTCAGCACAGACCATGCTATGTGTAGTGTTTTTGAGTCCTCAAGGTTTTCCATGTCAATAAGTTGGTTCAGTCTTTTTAATTCATTTATCTAAACTCTGATTCTCAAATTATGAACGTTTAGTTTAACAACCTTATGTGTATAAATTTCAAGGTATGTTCTTATAATAATGCTGCGTACATTTTTCCAACCCTTTATCCACATTTGTTCCATGTAGCCGATGCACAGGAGACTGGCACCACCGCGAGTGAGGTTTCTGACGAAAGCAAGTATCAAATCAAAGTAGAAAAGTACTCTAAAAGTGCTTTGTGTGGCAGTTTTACACAGAAGTCGATCAGAAGTCGCTCTAAACTGTGTATCCAAGGGGCGTGGGTCGATTTTTGTGTCATTGTTAAAGACCAAAGATGAATGTGTTTACAAACGAAATACTAAAATCTCTCGCTGTTTGTTTGAAGCAATTCAATTAAAGTCACACTGAAAATTTAGTTGTACAATGTGGTGTACATTCAATGCAACACATGGCACTTTTAAAACCTGCACAGCAAAGTTGTGTGAATTGAAGTGGATTGACTGTTGCCTGTTTTTTTGCTGGGGTTTGCTCAGCTGACACAGAGGACCCCCCTCATACCCCTGTTGCATGCAAGTATCCTCATTTTTCACTCAATGTTCTCAGTAATAATAATAATCACATCATTCCTTGAGGTTGTAGCACCAGAAAGTCACCCTTTACTTTTTTTTTTTACCCCTTATGGATCATCAGTCCCTTCATCAAGTATTACAGGGGTTCTCAAACTTTTTGGGTTCAGGGACCTTACAGGGGAGAACAGGTTTCAGGGCCCCCCTCATAACCTTCATGTTTATTAAATAATTCAGTTTGTATCTTTAATTCAATGGAAATATTTGTGTAACATAAATACTTCAGAGCTGTTCTTTAATAGTGTTAACACAATTTTGATACTTCTAAACACGAGGTATTTTTCATTCAAGACACACTTAACAATTTTTTTCATTTCAACTTCCAAAAATGACAGTTTAAAGAAAATGAACAGAATCAAAAACCACTTTACAATTTTACCTATTCACATAATGAACATAAATGTACAGTAGTCCCTCGTTTATCGCTGAGGTTCGCCCCCCCATGATAAGTGGAAAAACGCCAAGTAAGGATAGTAATACAAGTAGTAGTAGTAGTAGTTTATTTGAGTAATTTTATATACAAACCGGATTCCAAAAAAGTTGGGACACTAAACAAATTGTGAATAAAAACTGAATGCAATGATGTGGAGATGGCAAATGTCAATATTTTATTCGTAATATAACATAGATGACAGATCAAAAGTTTAATCTGAGTAAATGTAACATTTTAAAGGAAAAATATGTTGATTCAAAATTTCACAGTAGTGTCAACAAATCCCAAAAAAGTTGGGACAAGTAGCAATAAGTGGCTGGAAAAAGGAAATTGAGCATATAACGAACAGCTGGAAGACCAATTAACACTAATTAGGTCAATTGACAATTGTGAGGGACTACTGTATCACCATTTTGTTAAATTATTACAGAAATCTCTTTGCATAAAACTGAACAGAATCATAACCGCAGTAGTCATACCAAGTAATGGGGCTTAATTTGTAAACAGATCGATGCTGGAACACAAATGATGGGTGGGGGGGGGGGGGCTGTTTGTCCTCACCCAGAAATTTTGAATAAAATAGATGTGATTTCCTGCATTTTGGTGCATTTTAACAAGTTAAACATCTACGTTCTCTTGTAAAAAAAATATATCTATAATTTTTTTTTTTTTTGAGGACCACCAAGCACTGGCTCGTGGACCCCTGGGGTCCTGGGGACCCCAGTTTGAGAACCACTGTTCTAACACATAGAATAAAATGATTGCATCTTCCAGTATGTTAGTATTTTAATAAAGCCTCAATTAGAAAACTTGTGTTCAACTTTAATCATTTCAGGTTATTTTCTTCTTACATTTTTTATAACGTGATTTTGTTTTAGTGGAAGGCAAAGAAGGTCCTTATGGAGTTCCAAACAAAAGCAAGTAACATCCCTGCTCAACAATGTCAACTGTTGATTAGAAATATTTTTAGAGCAACTTGTAGAATCAGTAACTAGTGCTGAATGTCCAGAGTAGCATGCTTTGGTTTAGTTCACGAGTACGGCACTTATGTTTGCGTGTGTTAAATCTTCTTTTTTATTGTGTTGTCCAATAATCAGTATTTTGTCTGAATCGGACACATCTGAAGACTAAACTGACCAAAAACATCTAATATTGACAGCACATCATTTAATTTAGGCATGAAATACAAACATGGCTGTCAAACTTCCTCTGAGTCAAAAAAAAATAAAAATCTGTCATCTCCCTTGTAGGTGCCCATCCAGACAACTATCAAGCACTGTGGTTCGAGAAGATGCACGACCCCGTCTCTGGAGAGACGCTGCACGTCTACAAGGGCGGTTACTGGGAGGCAAAGAAGCAAGGGAGCTGGGAAACGTGCCCAGACATCTTCTGACCCCCGCAGAGTTGGTGTCAAACAGAGAAGAAATGTTGAGCAGGTTCTTCCCTGCGTCAAATCTAGTGATGAATGAAGCTTCACAAAAAACTCTAAACCCATGTGAGCACTCCTTCCTGCTGGATCAGGGTCACCTGGAATTCACCTGTAGAGTAGGTTTCTGTGTATTCGTGGTCACATTTCTGCTGGTAAGTGTCCAGAGCTCCTTCTTACTGCCTCTCAAACACTGACGTGTCCTCTGCCTGCTACCAGAGTAGGATTTTGTAGTCCACCTGCTATTTTTTGACTCCATCAAACACGTTTTGTTTGTTTTTGTCATCCGAGTGTGATTTATTCTGTAATGACTCAGAAGCACAGCGCCACTCTTAAAGCGAGAGTTCAGATCCTTTGAAATGTGGTTTTGTGAAAGATACCTATATTTGACCTCCTTTAGATGTTTGAATGACCTCACTTTGGAGGCTTGGTTTAATTTCTCCCGTATCGATTAGTTAAAGGCTGGACCGAGCAGAACCAACACCAAGTCTCACAAACTGTGTTGTGGTTCACGTAAACATCACCTGCAGATCTTGCATCATTCAGTTATTCTGACAGGAAAACTGTTTTTTTTGCCAGAAGTGCTACATCTTGCTTCTGCTGCTGCCGTTTCCACTTTCTGCAAATGACCTCATGAAGTGAAAATGACGATGTGAAGGTTTATCAAATACAGTTTATATAAACTGCTTTTCCATCCATTATCTTCCACTTATTCTGAAGTCAGGTCACGGGAGGTCCAGACGTCTCTTCCACAGCCACCTCTTCCCAGGCCTTCTTTCAGTCACTACCCAGAGTTCATGGTTATAGGTGAAGGTAGGAACGTAGACTGACCAGTAAACAGAGAGCTTTGCTTGACAGCTCCGCTCCCTCTTCACCACATCGGACTGGCACAAAGTCCGCAATACTGCAGACGCTGCACCAACCGTCTGTCAATCTCATGCTCCGTTCTTCCCTCACGTGTCAACAAAACCCTGAGATACTTGAACTCCTCCACTTGAGGCAGAACCTCACCTTCGACCTGGAGAGCAATCCACCCTTTTCTGAATGAGGACCATGGCCTCAGATTTGGAGGTGCTGGTCCTCGTCGCAGCTGCTTCACACTCGAAGCGCTCCAGTGAGAGCTGAAGATCACGGCACGATGACGAAATATAATCTGTTAAATGTTAATTATTTGATGGCAGGAACTGTCCTCTTCAGTCTTGACCTCGCTTCCACTAGCAGTGAACTCGTTGTCATGGCAGCAAAGATTAGGGAGTCAAGAAGACGCAGCTTGTTGATATTTACCAATTTATTGCAAAGTAAACATCAATCATAATGTTGCTGGAATGAGACAGATCCCAGTGGTATAATCTGTCTGACCTCAGATTGTCAGAGTTCATTTAAACAAATCTCATCAGTAAGACATAACTCCACCAGTCTTGTAACTGGACAGACATTTCTCATAGAGGAGAGTGACCTAACATTGAACAGATGTGCACCATACGGACAGTTCTGTTACCTAAAGAGGACATCATCAGCACCTCATCAGTGAATTTTATTTTTCTACAACACCGCTCAGAATAAAATAAATTTTCTTCAAATAGAGGTCGTTCAAAGAGTTCTGTACAACAGGTATTACTTGTGCACTGATTGTCTCTTCAGAAGATCTGAACTGTTCCTTTAAGTTGAAGGTTCTCACGTTTGTTGGTTTGCGTGTCGTGAACACTGAGCAGATTTCTCCTTTGACTTTCTATTGATTTGCAGTTCTCATCTTTAAATTAAAGCACCATTATCTACTAATGAACTTTTTATTATATTTATCCTCATTGTGACTTCGTTTTTAACAACTAACTCTACTTCCTGTTTTAAAAAAAACCACATGGTCATGGTAATAGATTTCAGAAGGGTAGTAAATACTTCTGTATTCAAGTAAAGGAAGTAAAGAATATTTTTTGTCCATCAAATTAATTTTATAACATTTCCCTTTTCCATATATTGAATATTATACAAGTTTAGGCAAAGACAGAATCAATTTTGGTTTGGGTTCAGTGAAAATGCCTGTAGCACTTTTTCCTAACAATGGAAGGTCAAATATTTGTTTTTCCTTTAAGTAATTCACATTAAGACATTTGGTTTTTGAAGTTTAGTCTGCAGCAGTCACAATTAGTGCAATATAGTTGACTTTATATGTTTAACACTACTCCATGCACTTCTGTTCAATTTAAACCTGATACTTGTGTTGATTATTTATTTGTTGACGTGATGCAGGTTTTTCATGCCTTTGTATGTGTTTTTTTCTAACAATCATAGCTTTACTTGGATAAATTTTAGATGTTTTGTGTGCTGTAAATTATTTTTTTACAGACAGCAATAAGAGTGCCTCTTCTCATTTATACGGCACTAAATTAAATGTCAAGACGATGTGACGTAGAAACACTAAAGCTGGAAAATCTCTGTTTTGTTTTTTCCCGTTTGTCACATTTGACAAGAAGGGGTCTCTGCAGGCAAATTCGGAAGGCGTATCTGGGCGCTCATATCTGATTGGACTATAGGAAAGTGGGCGTATCTGGGCGGTCATATCTGATTGGACGATAGGAAAATGGGCGTTTCTGGCCGGCCAGATCTGATTGGACGATAGAAAAATGGGCGTGTCTGGACGGCCACATCTGATTGGACGATAGAAAAATGGGCGTGTCTGGACGGCCACATCTGATTGGACGATAGAAAAAAAAAAGGCTGAACGATAGAAAATAAAAGGCTGAACGATAAAATGCCGTAACCACAGACACATGATGTCTAAAAACAAGGCGTTATTGGCAGATTGTGTTAACCACAGGCATATTATGTCTATGGTGTTAACCGGTTCGACATTAGCGGCGTCTCGGTTCGACATCGCTCCAGTATACTACCGCGGCGTCTCCATAACTTCTTTTTTCGACTCTCTTAACAGAACTTCCGGTTACATTTCAAAATAAGAGCAACATAACTGGGTAGTGGGGAGAGCTAAATGTTGTTTTTTTTAATACCTAGCCATAACATTAAAAAACAAATTCCATTTTGGTTGTTGAAAAATGTGAACAAAGTTACAATTGATTCATAAAGAAAGAAAAATATTAATGATACTTAAACTGGCCTTGGGACAAAGGAGGTTTCCTTTAACTTCACATTTTCTTGTTCAACCTGCAGTCACTGCAGATGAGTGATTGTCAGTTTCTGTAAGATTTCTGCACCTGGAGCAGGTATTCTGTTTACTGGTTAACTTCCTCAGCTGTCTCACATTTTAAAGGTCAACCCTACTCCATGTTTCAGTAGAAAACAAGCACATTTAGGAGTCAGTACATAACCAGACATTTGGCCCTCACACCTGTACCCAGTTGCTCATGCTGCACGATGAGATCAGATTTATCCATATTTTAGAAATTACATTTAACTTATAGTGGACAAAACAATACAAATGAAGACCGTCTTTATTAAAAACCCTCTTGGTTTTGCAGTAAGCAGCCTGATTTCAAACTGACATCTTGGCCAAAGGTAAAATAAAAATCTTTTGTGTTCTCAGAAAAGTTGTTTCAGGACCTCCAATAAACTTATGTACACATCAAAGCACACAAGACAGATTCAGGAATTCTCTTTGTTTTCCAGATTTCACATTTGTTATTACCTTAAAACATACTCAGACAACATTTGATGCATCATTGAATTTTTTTATTGTGTTTATTGGGACATCCATTTTTAGAAGTCATCGTAGCATCTGTTGGAAACACAGAACATAGCACAGTTAGGGTGTTGCTAGTTGTTACTTAATCCTGGATTGGATTTTAAAGTTAATTTTGATATTTTTTTCACAAGAAAAAAAAAGTTGATTTCCTAAAGTTTAACTATAAATGAAGGAATTTGTGCATTCAGGTAATTGAAAATTAAGTAATTTCTCTAACATCCAACCCATTTTAGCCACTGAGCCATACCAAACACCCATAATCTATTCTTGAATGAATTATTGACTATTATTGACAAATTACAGACTTTTTATTGAATAAGTTATTACTCATTATTGAGTAATGAAAGTCAACATCAGATGTTGGTCAACATTGTTGGGCAACATCTTGGGGTCTTCTAGAGTCAGTCTGAAGTGAGAGTGGTCCCTGACATGGCAGAAAGACATAGATATAATTAACAGCTTTTATTTATTTATTTTTCAGCTAATAACAACTTTTATTTATTTGTTTTTCATATTTTTCAGTTATACACAGCTTTTAAATATTTATTTTTCAAGTATTAAGAACTTTTATTTTCAGCTTTTATTTTGAAAAGGAGCCGAGTGGAGGCTCACGTTACCTCAGTGCGTTACGACAACAACGAGAGAACGGTCGAAACTATCGTGACCTACAATAAACGTACTTCAATAAAATGCAAAAGTGAAAACATAACATACTTTATAAGTACAATAAACCATATTTCTTTGTCAAACATCGCAAAGAAACGTTACCTCATCAATGACTCGTGACTTTGAGGGTTACCCACAGCCAATCAGTGTTCGCCGCCGACAAACGCCTATTAAATATTGTTAGCCAATCAGTGTTCGCTGTCCATAAACGCCTATTCGCCAGAAACGCCCACTTTTGGTCTGCAGAGACCCCCTTCTCACATTTGATGCGTGCTCTGAGTCGAGAGGCGGTATTTTCTGTTTTAAAAATAAAATAACAAATGTCACATTCAAGTGTACTTAAAATGAGAACACTCCAAATGAAGACAAAATATTTCTGTGTGCATATTTGAACTTGTGGAAATGTGCAAACAGCTGCAGTTAAAGAGAATCTAAAAGCAGAAAAGCACTTTAATACATTTTCTTTGGTTTGTGGTTTGAGACTTGTCTTCACCTGCTGAACAAGTTTTAAATTTTAAATACAGTATTTCTTTGAATTTCAACATTTACAGGTCTAACTGCATCTTGGGAAGAAAAAATTGCAAAGTTACAGGTTTTTGAATATATGACAGTTTTGGTTTCCTTTAGGCTTTTTTGTGTTACTCCATGATTCTGTGTGTTTTTAGTTTGAAACCTTCCCGTCTGTTTATTTTCAGCTGTGTTTCACCCTGCACCATGGAAATTATCGTTCACAAGTTCTCTGCAGCAGTTTCT